GTAAGAAATTCGTAACAGAAATATGTTGCATTTAATAAATTATTTCAGCAATGTAGTTAAATAACAAAAGAAATTACGGTCGCGAACGTGTTAAAAAGCAACCATGAGACTATTTATACATATTATTACAATGAATTTATACATATTATCACAACGAATTTATACATATTGTTACAATGAATTTATACATATTATTCAAACGAATTTATACATATTATTAGAATTCGCATTTTTATGTCGAATATTGTTTTATTATATTTTGAAACAAACACTTTTAGTTAAGTTTTTTATTTAGACTTTTAAAATCGATACAAAATTAGAAACGAATTATTAATTATTAAATCTAGTGACAAATAATTTGCACAGCGTTTATTGATAGTAAAATGTGAAATAATTTTTTCAGCAATCAAACTGCAGAATGGTACCTATTTCCTGAATGGAAATTACAATATCAACTTGTCTGGCAAGTATCAAGCAGCAGGGACAACTTTTGTGTACCTTCGTCAAGGACCTCAACATTTGGAAAGTTTCTCTGCTACTGGCCCTTTGCAGGAGTCAGTCGATGTCATGGTGAATATTTCATTGAATTTTGAAAAAACTCTGCTTTAAGATTTCACTTCATAATAATTTTTTCATATTACACATATGCAAGAATTGTAACGATATTTTTATAATGTCACTTTCTTTTTCTTCATTCTTCCTATAATCATATTCGTGCTTTATTAATAACTAAGCTTGTGAGAAAATTAAAAAGCTATACAAAGTGTCCCAAAATTATTGTACAAGCAAGATATGAAAGGTTCCTGAGGGAATTTGAAATAACTTTTTCCTTTACAAAAATTTTCTCTGAGGCATCGTTAACGAATTATTAACAAAAAACACTGACCAATGAGAGGCGAGCTCGGCTGACGCGAGGCGATTCAGCCAACGAGCGCGCGAAGCCCATTTCCGCTAATTGGCTCGACCGTCTAGCTCCAGGCGAACTCGCCTGGTCATTGATACTCATTGATGATTGTTTTTTGTTAATAACACGTAAACGAAACCGCGGATTACATTTCCGCTAAGGAAAAAGTTACTTCAAATGACCTTAGGAACTCCTCATTTCTCGCTTGTACAGTAATTTTAGGACACCCTATATAAATCAGATACAATAATTTCTCTCACATTGTCCCTCAACTTGGGAACGAAATTGAACAACTTGGGTAGAGGAGATACAATTATTCGAGTCTCGCGGCTCGTTTTTATAGTTGTTGCTAACCTTGCCGATTATCAACAACTATAAAAGCGAAGTACGAGACTCGAATAATTGTATCTGCTCTTCCCAAGTTGTCCATTTTCGTTCCCAAACTATGGGACAATGTGAGAGAAATTACTGTACTTTAATGTGCCATAATTAGTTTGATTTTGTCGGACAGTGTAATTAGCGAAAAAAAAGGGAAAAGTTTCTAAGTAATTCATAGTCATAATTATTACCGAATAATAAATATGACTGTCTGATAAAAACTACTGTTCTCATTAGGTTCTATATCAAGAACCAAATCCGGGTATAGTTTACCGATACATTATCCCAGGAAATGGGAATGTCCCCACGAATACACATTTTGGACACAAAGCAGGTAAATTACATATTAATATCAACTACGAAATTTTCAATTTCCAATTTAAATTATTAATCATAATTATCGTAACGATAAATATCGTTCACAGTCGCCGGCAAAGCTGGAGAACCAATTATACCAAGTACTTTGAATAGAAGGTAAATATTTGAGTACAAATGTTCGAATCCTTATCATATTCTTCTTGTCTTTAACTGAAGAAAATTGTTTAATTGCCATTGTCATTTTTTAGAATAGATGGTGGTTCGATGATCAACAATGCAACACAATCACCCTATCTTTCGCGACGAGGTAAAAAGAGAAAATTCGTCTGGAAAGCGATCGGTTATACGGGATGCAGTCAAACTTGTGGCGGAGGTACATCAATCTTTGCAATTTATGTATTTCTTTGCGTTTTATGTATTTTACGAAATTTACTCTCGAGCACCTTCGCGAAGTAAATTTCTACCCCACGCGTAATATTTGTATTCAAAATTGCGACAGCATCGCTGCTTTATCATTCGAATAAATAAATGAAACATATATAATCGGGTATATAATAAATATATTATATTTTGAATTTATTTCTATTTGTTATATTTAAATTATGAATGCAAATGTTACGCAAGGGTAGAAATTTACTCCGCGAAAGTGCTCGAGGGTTAAACTTGATCGGCGTCAGTTAAATCAGAATTTTGTTGAAACCAAAAATAGTGAAACTGTCAAATTTATTCTTCTTTCTTCCAAAATCAAGGCTTCCAAATGCTGAAATATATATGCGTGAAAGAACACACACAAACATTGGTGCCTGGGAAACGATGTCACACAGAAAAACCACGGGATCTTCAACGATGCAACACCATGCCTTGTCCTCCCAAGTAAGTGTAGCACATGGAACATAGATACATATACACATTGACACGATTTACGTATTTCATCAACTGGGTTTTTTGCACCAAGTGTACTGTAGACATGCTAACAAACTGATTATAACTTCGTTCCTTCTGTAGATAGAAAAAAATGACATTCTGAATAAAGAAAGATTAGCGCAAAATCATAAAACATTTAGTACTCTTCGAAATATACAACTACGTTATGAACATACACAACAAATTTTGAATTAGAATCAAATTTATAGTGCTATGCAATTGCTAGATACAACCTGTATACAGTATTACCGACAATTAATCAGACGACAAAAATCATTCCGTTCCTGAAATATTTTATTTTCTAACGTATTTATCGAAATATAAATTAGTAAATTAAATAAATATATAATAATAAATATATAACAAATAACGTAGCGGATATGAAAAGTCTACAAATGTATAGAATCGAAATTTTCGTAATTTTTAAAACGTCAAGAGGAAATTATTTCGAGTGGTTTGAAAACTCTAGTGACGAGAAAAAAGATTAAATTCATTTGAATTAATTTGTAATGGAGTTGAGTCAGGAATTGATTGCGGAGTTATTCGATTTTGTGAAGATGGAAACCCGGTCCTTGGAGCCACTGCTCGGTCACATGCGGTACAGGGTCTCGAACCAGGGAATTAGAGTGTGTACAAGAAATAAAACCGTCGTTGGTAATGAGGATAGCCGACGGCGCCTGCACGGAACCGAAAATTCTTCCTACGACCGAGACTTGTGAAACGACGCCGTGTGAATACGATGCTAAAATAACGCCGACGACGATACCGCCTCCGCAATGGAACGTGGGCACATGGTCTTCGGTATTAATCTTCTTCTATTGCATGTTACGCATCCCGAACACCTTATTTGGATTTAGAGGTCCATACATCTGACATGGTTGAGATCAGTAAATAGCGTATTTTTACAGTTAATTGAAATTTATTTTGGAAACCAACGAATTCAGTGAATCATACTTCATTTCTACGCTGCACGCGTAAGGGAGAACATTTTGTACCATTGAAGAGGCCATCGCTTTTATCATTTATTGAATTCCGACGATGATATGAGATTTACCCTAACACGAGAACTACCAAACCAGTCAGAATGACTGGTTTGTAATTTTCTAAGTTTACAGTTATATTGATATAAGGGAAATGTTTTTATGCGAATTGTTCGATAAACTCTTTTATTCAAGTACATATTATGATACAAATCGCACGGTTTGAGCAAATCCAATCTTATCATTATTATAAAACAATATACAGAGTGTCCCAAAAATGTCTCGCAATCGGGAAATGAGGAATTCCTGAGATTATTTGAAGTAACTTATTTCTAAGTGAAAATGCAATCTGTTGCTTTGTTTACGAGTTATTAACGAAAAACAATAACCAATGAGAGGCAAACTCAAGTAGCTCAGCCAACGAGCGCACGAAGCCCAGTTACACTCATTGGCTGTTTTTCGTTAATAACTCGTATACAAAGCTGCGGATTGCATTTTTGCTAAGGAAAAAATTACTTCAAATGTCCTCAGACATTTAGTATACAAGAAAGGAGAATAGATATGAATGAAAATTCGTATATTCATTGTGGTTATACTTTTATTTATTCCGTGGTCATATAGTACATAAATTATTTAGTGAAAAATTCAAGTTAATATTTACATATTTAATCACTGGACACAACATAATAAATTACATGATAAATAAAATTCGCAGTAAAGTTAATACTTTGTGTTGCCATATTTTGCTTGAGTTATGGCTTCTAACTGGCTAGGAATGCTGGTTATTAAACTCAATAGGTTATCTATTAGATTCAAGTCAGGACTTTGCGGATGAACAATGAAATATTCGAATCCTTACAAAATATTTTTTGTAACAGAAATCCGCTGTTCAGACCAATCTTTGCCCCTGCCATTTTTAAATTTCTATTCATAATATTGACGTACGTCTCCGCAGTCATTATGCCGTCAATTTGTACCAGTGCTCCAATTTCGTTTCATAAAAAACACACCTATTAATGATCCTCACTATTAATGATCTGTCATTAGATTGTTAAATCTTGGCGTAATAAAGAAGTTTTTAAAAGCTTCATCATTATTTCTCTAAAAATACTTCTTTTTCAATTGCGGTAACTCAAATTTACTTTCATCAGTTCATATTATGTTTTTCCAAAATTTTGTAATCTTTATAATTTTTTCCACGTTATAATTTTCATTATAATTTTTTCGCCGCAAAAGACAAACGTCTTATAGTATTAATTTTAATCATAAATGACTTATCGCCTAACCTTGCGGCATGCTAGTTTAATTTGGTAAATTTTCCTACTCATTGTTCCTGTTGAAACGTTTGCTCCTAATGTTTTTGCAATATTCCTGACAGATTTGTTGGATCTTATCGACATTTGCGGACAATTCGGCGGTTTTCTTGCACAATGGTACATCGTTTGCGTTCACGATCTCTTAAATATTCTACGGTTTTATATTAAAAATACTTCTTAAAACCTTAACATTTTACGGCAATGCGACACAATTGAACGATGAACTTTATTATTATATTTCATCTCCTCCCAATAATCTGATAAATTGTTCTCAAAAGGATCATTTTCGGTTTGTAACCAGGACAATAATATAGTATTGTTATAACATTATTCGTTGAATAATATTTAGCACTTGTCACAATGTTTGAGAACTTATTTTATATTAAGTAACAGAATAGTTGTTTCTATTATAGAAAAAATTTCGTTTTTAAACTTTATTAATTCTAGTCAAACCAAAACTTGTACCCTCAACAATTCTTCTATATTATTCTAATTAAAACTTATAATATCAGGACTTTTTTTAAAAGGTATCACATGTAATCAATTTCAATGTTAATTATGAAAGAAGTCCGGAACTTTTTTGAACCCCGATACAATTAAACTAATAAATACCAACAACTAAGGTAGTCCATTTAAACATAAAGACTATTAAATATTACATACGTTTTAATTAGTTCATCTTCCATTTAAGTGCTCCACGTCTTGCGGGCTAGGTAAAAGGACAAGAATGGTAACATGCGTCACGCAAGGACTTCCCTGCGATCTTGAAACGAAGCCTGACACTCAAGAACCTTGCGACTATGAACCTTGCACGATTAAAGCGACACCATTATCCGTCATTTCCACAGAACCTGAAGGAATACAATGGTTATACACCGAATGGTCCGAAGGGGTAAGAATGTCCGAATGTAATTAACTTTGGAATAAATTTAAAAAATTATAACATTTTCATATTGGATTTTCACATTTATTTAATTTTCTGCAAGTATCCCAATACTTTTGGAGAGGGGTGTATGTATGACTCGATCAAAATTTTTCAGTGTTCATCCGAATGCGGGACTGGCGTGCAAACTAGAAAAGTTTTCTGCGACGATACACCGAGAGAAGTGTATTGCGATCCAGCAAGTCAACCGGAAACTACGAGGACTTGTTCTAGCAACAGAACCTGCAGTGGACAATGGTTCACGGGACCTTGGTCGGAGGTCCGTTCTTTTGTATTTCTTGAATGCAAGCTGGAAATTTGTTCATTAGTTTCTATATATTCTTCGAATCATCTAAAACAATTTTAAATCAAAAACACGTACAGTGAGTGACGTTAATATTCGGACATCTTTTAAAGTAACTTTCTTAAAATTCAATCGAATTACTTAATTTTTTTAATGTTAGACTGATCGGTTTATTAGCCGATAAACAAACAAAATTTTATAAAAGTTGCAATCGATTAAAATAAAAAAACGACATTTTTCAATTCTTCTATCTAAACATAGAACAAAAGTAAGTCGTTTTTTAGATCCCGGTATCTTATATGCGTGCCGAAGATTTAGTCGAAATCGGTTAACGTATGTATTAATTTCTTTTTCTCGTTTCAAGAAATTATAATTTTTGCGAACATGTTTCTAACCGTTTGTCTAGTGAACTATGCAATCTAGCAAACTCGAAAAATCTAGTCTCGAAAAAATTCAGATTTTCAAGTCCAATTTTAAAAAGATTGTTTTGTCAGTTGTTCGAAAAAGTGTCCGGATATTATCGTTACTCATTGTATACATAAAACTCAGCTAAGATTTTCTGAAGAAATGAGAAGAAAATAGAAACAATCGATTTTATTATATTATTATAACCAATTTCATTGAGTGATATTTTTCTTCAAATTCTCTTTCTTTGCTTAGTGCTCTACACAATGTGATTCAGGGGAACAAGTCAGAGAAGCAGTCTGTGTAACCACTCTTCGAGGATCACTGCGACTGGTTCTGGACATGAATTGTCCCGCAAATAAACCGGAAACGAGAAGACCTTGTAACGGCCCGCCATGCGAGTCCACGTGGTTCATATCGGATTGGACAGAAGTAATTTTTGCAGATCAATTTTTGCATTTATGCTGTCGCTTGGAAACTTCAGATCATTATTACCATCTATAGTCCATAATTATGATACAGATTGATGTTTAATAATTTGGTAATTCGTCCTGTACCATTTTTCGAACTTTCTGATTTATGAAGGTTTAAAAATCTGGGACATCGATTTATTCGAAAATGACGCTCCATGTTGATTCACCCCTTTTCCGCTTATACCATTAGTTCGGTGACACCGTGTATAACATCTCGAAACGTATCTGCTCTTATAGAGATAAATTCCTCTAAACAATATTTCATGTAACACCGTAACTGTCTCGTCAACAATCTAAAAAATATCACACAATTAAAGTATTTCATTTAATCAAAAAGAAATTGAAAGACTAATCTTTACTTTAAAGATTCGAAGATTTTTGGCTCTTTTATTCATATTTCCGTAGATTTTGTCGAGAAAACTCTAAAAATACAAGTCCCAAGATGCGCAAACCATTGGTTCGATAGTTATACCCGTTCAAAGTTGACGAATTTCAAGCGTTTTTGACACATTAGCACACTGGATAACAGCACAAATATCAAAGAAATTCCTTATAAGAACCGCCAGATGGCAACAGAAGCATGGACAAGTAGCCGTTTTGATATCATAATTCGAATGCTCCATATTTTATTGCGCTAATCTTTATTTTATATATATAAAAAAGGGTTAGGGTTTGGGTTAGGATTATTTTAGAATTACTTTGGTTACTTTTAAATCAATGGTTTCTGCACCTTGGGACTTGTATTTTCGAAGTTTTCTTGACAGAACCTACGGAAATATGCATAAAAGAACCAAAAATCTTTGGACCCGTAAAGTTTAACCAATTGAAAAGTTAAATTATATGACATCAATTACTTTTTGCATATCCTTACGTTTTACAGATCCTAAAAAAGATTAGGAAAATTCAGTAGACTGAAAATTCAGTAATAATTAATTTTTTCAAATGTAGACAAATAATTCCGTCACCCACGCATGGAGTCCTGGCAGTCAAGGAGTTGAGCGACACAAAAAATATTGTTTTGCAGCTACTGTAAAATACTGTAAAATTCTGTATTCTTGTATATAAGTAAATTTTTAATAATTTGGCGATCGTAAAAGAACGTTCCTAAACATTACTTGTTGCCAAAACAAATTTTAACGAGTATTATTAAAACCTGGTATTTGCAGGTTTCACAGAATGTTACAACGCGGACTAAACGGAAAGGAAGGCAAAACAGGCTTGTCGCTTAACGTGTTAAATATATTTTTGAACCATTTCAGTGTTCTCGATCATGCGGGAAAGGTATCCAGGAAAGGGAAGTAAGGTGCCTGAACAGACACGGTCACTCGCCTGATCCTCATGAACTCCATTGCAAGGAAAAAGACAAACCGATATATCGCCGGGTCTGTAACGATTATCCTTGCAAGGACGACGTACACATCTCCGAGAATCATCACCGAGTTCTGCAAGTTCAAGACGACCCAGAAATCTCGAACGGTATTTCAAACAATAACCTTCTAGCGTTCGAATAATCGCAATATATATTAATCTTGCTTTTAGTTTTAGACGAAAATCCAGATTGCAAGGACAGCAGGTCGAACTGCAATTTAGTTGCACAAGCCCGGCTCTGCACTTATCACTTCTATCAACAATTCTGCTGCCTCTCGTGCTCCAGAGCGAAGCAAGAAGAGTGAGTTCAGATCTAGTGTTTCAGTGATTAATTAAACTCGCGACTGAATTACGGTAAGTGTAGTACGTACGTATAGAGTAGGGTGGTCCCCTCCCCTAAATTGAAACACTTACTGAAAAAATTTGTGTAAAATTTGAAGGTAATCGAAGACCAGGAACCAGTGCCACATTTGTGTTAAAGATTGAAAATGTTAATGATTTAATTTTATTTTCAAACATAATTGTTTTTCGTTGTTTTATGTACTTTTTTTGAATAGAGGACAACGTTTTAGATGAATAATGATGTACTGTATGTGTTACTTCTAAAACCACATATAAGAGCCTTAAATTTTTATTTGTTATTAACCCTTTGCTCTCGAAGCCAAGTTATCTCTAAATCTCAAATTGGTTTTCTGATCTACAGTGTTTCCATTTTATATGATTTAATGCATTTTATGCACATGAATTTGAGTCTTGTGGCTCAATAAACAGTTACACTTTTTTAAATATAAACAGATTTTATAACGTAAAAGTTATTTTGTACGCGATATATGTATAACAATTTTTAGTAGTACCTCAGAGTCATTACTCTAGTGCAAAAGGTAGATCAATGTATGATGCTGACAAAGGAGACTATATCGAATCTGGATACACTTATTTTAATGAAATTTTTGTGAGAGGTAGTTATCAGAAAAATATTTAACATATACTTTTTCATAGGTCATCATCGATGTTGGTAAGGTAATTTTGTATACACTTTTGGAAATAAGACACAAAGTTTATCATTATTCATTTAAGACATACACTTCTGGTCAAAAACGTTTAACGATATTTCCAAAATAGAGAAGTACAATTACGTTAAACAATGGCATGAAGTCGTTAAAATTTTTTAACTTTAATACAAATACGATACAAGTTCCCATTGTCCGATTGCCTCCAAATTTTGCGCACATTATTTTCCCATGAAGTGTCACAATTTAGTCAGATAATACCAGAAAAAAAGAAAATCAAAAAATAAGGATCGCCCTAGTGTAGGTTTGTAATACTTACCTCCACATCGTCTCACAGAATCTTCAGCGTCGAATATTGTACGGGCCGTTTCAGAATTATAGACGCAAATTTAACCAATTAATAAGACAGAGTAACATAGTATTACGACCGTAACAAACTTGTATGTTTATAAAGTATTTCTTGCACTTAAAGATCTAACAAAAATAACACACAATCGTATTTATCTCTATATATGTAGCTACGGAAGTCTCCGAGGTTATTTCGTTATTTTACTCGTTATCTTCTGCGAATTAATTTCAGCTGTAATTCGATAACACTTTGTACCGAAAGGTGATATTTAGCTGCAAAAATATGTTAAGTATGTCTTACATGAAATTGAAAAATTAACAGCTCGACATAATACATAAATCATAATATTTGTAACGTTTTGTACCTTTTAGAAAGCGAATTATTTATCAAGTTGCGACACAATCGCAGGCGTTCTAGAATATACTAACTAAAAACAAAACATGTACAAGGATCGTGCCTTTGGTATAATTAAACAAATGATTTTAAACGTGTTCATCGACGAGAAATTATAGACTGAATGTTTACATCGTAATAAGGCAATATTGGCATTTAATTTGTATCATTTTCCGTTATCTTTACTTGCCATAATAAATGTTACGCTTTCTACGTAATTACGTCCTATCCTACATTATGTCCCTAAAGTGTCGAAAATCATGCAAAATGGTAAGTCTAGACTAAAAAAAAGTAATTATCGTTATGGAAAATAGAATTATTATTGAACAAGCCATATCAACGAAGAAGAGACCAACATAAAACTATTTACAGTCATTATTGTAAAAAAAATTATCTGCTACAAATACTACGTACGAACGCAATAAATTATATGTACATACGTCCATCGTTTGCAATAAGATTGGCAGTGCTTATAGTTCCCTGTAGACTGTGAGTTTCGTAGAATAACTTTTCAAATTCAATTTTCGTCGCATTCTCAATTCGACAATATATTAGTTCATGTTCAAGTAAGTTTGTCCTTTATCATAGATTGTGGATTTTATGCATTCGTGAGAATAATGAATAAATCAAATTCAAAACTGTCAAGGCATTAGAAGAATTTGAGGATGTTGTTACATTACTTGCATCTTGTTACAAATATTAAAAAATGAAATACATTTTCATCTTATCTATCCTTGCAATTAACTACGATTTTTATTTTGCTTAAAGATCCACAGTCTAATCATAAATCTTAATCAATGTTTAAATAAGCGAATTATGATGAGCTTTCGCATAAACTTCAACAGTCTACATATTCGAAAAGAATCGTTACACTGCAGAACGAAAATCTATCGAATAATATGTTTCGACTTATACATTTATTAAAACAATTCTTTGTAATCCATTAATTTCCCACTAAGAATGATACTTAATTCATTAATTTATAAATAAATCATCGATACACGCGATAATTCAAGATCATTTGAGAGTTAATGGATTAGGAGAACATTAATTGGCAATCGTAGAACCGATTAAAACCTAACAATAGATGCACGACTATTCAGTGATGATCGACGACTCGTCTCTATACTTCTTAGAAGATTCAAGAGCTATTGGGATCTAAGCTATCTTGAGCATTGGTTGTACTATTGTCGTGATTTTTGTACGCTGAGAAGAACGCGAGAGCTTTCATTAGCTGATAGCTCTTGCTGATTGGAATGTTGCTGTCGTATAGACTTTTCGATGATTTGCAATCGACGTAGAACCACCAGTTGCACTTGAGGATCGTTTGGTCGAACAGCGTCGATTCAGGACACAGGAAGCTCTTCATGATCAGCCCGTCGTCAGTTAGAGCGCAGACGTGAAATACCTGAGTAAACATAAATTCTTCATTTAAAACTACATTCACAGTTAATGATTATAAAAAACTTTAAAAGGATGTCAAAATTACCATTGATGCAGTTAAAGCATTAAGAAATATCTGTAAAGTGGTGACAGTACAGCATAGTTTATGGACACTAATGTAAAAAAAATGGCAATAGCCATGCATACATGTATAAACTTGCAAGGGGAACTTATAATCATGGATATCGCTTTTGAAACGAGAAAGGGTTAAAGTTACAACTCTAATAGGATTTTTTAAAATGTGCACTCCTTTTTGAAATATTTCGATTTAAAGTTTGTATGTAACCAGGGTGCCCCAAAATCATAATTTGTTTGTATTGTTGACAATTGACAACTATAAAAATGAGGCGCAAAGCTCGAATAATCACATCTCCTCTTCCCAAATTGTCTATTTTTGTTTACAAGCTGAAGGACAATTAGAGAGAATATACTGTATAGTTCTGTGTCGCATGCGAAGCTATTGAGGTAAATTGCTAAAGAAATACAATAATAACCAATTCGTGAAATATTTTAAATAATTGTTCTTAATTGATTAAAGAGTACACGTTACTATATCCTTCTTTTCGCAACCAAATTTAGTTGATTTTTATAATGTTGCATTTCGAAAGAAATCCGAAGTGAACCGATATTTATAACTGTTGTACCGTCACCCGCGTGTCATAAGGCTGAAGTGATTCAAGTGAAATGGACTGCTATTGCGACCACAGATGTACTCTCCTTTTGAAGGACAGGCTACAGTCATTGTTATGCAACGCACTTTCGACGGTTCATTTTTTTTCAGAATATTTTGGGCACCATAATACCTACCATTTTTTCACAAATTATCATACTGTTTGATTCATGGTGTAACACGAGTATTCACCAACTGTTTTATTATTTAAACGAGATTCAATTATTCATTGAGAAGGCCAATAATTTTTTCAGTCAATAGATATGACAAATTAAAGTGTCAAGATATATGCTCATTAAGACCCATTTTAATATTTCTAATGATGACGATACCTACAGAGCTATGTGAATTAACAACTGAACGACGGGGCCCGGGTAACAAATACTGTTACGTAACGGTTTCTGTCAAGTAATTTAAATGATCACATGTTTTATTAAGGTATATAGAAAACCCGATGTGTCTAAAAGAAGAACCTTAAAAAATATCTAGGAAAAATAGATAAATTGAATAACAAATGATCCTAAATATACTTAATTATACTTTTGTTAAAGGGGACCGTCGTTCGAATGTTAATGAAATTACCAATTAGTAATTTGAATTTGTACGAATGTTTAAATACCATGCATCCAAGGTCCTCGTCAGCATACAGCCCTGGGAAATGTTTCTGATCACCGCAATAGAAACTCGTATCCGGAAGATCAACACGACTAGCAAAATTATCATCGAAGTTTTTGTCATAACCCAAAGGATAATATTCTCGAGGTGCATTCATCACTTTTGTGGCTCCAGAGTTATACTTGCTGAGAACAAGAAATATTCAATTAAAATTGGCTTCAAAGGAACAATTAACGCATTATCGTAATCTAAATTCAATAATGATAACTAAAACTAACTTTTTTCAAACATTGCCATTTAATATTGACGTTTAAGTATTTATTGATACCCTTCGAAAATCAATTTGTATACTCATATCGAAAATTAGATTTACTCAAAAATTATACTTAGACAGCGGATCTTTATGCAAAATACATCGAATATAACGAATATCATTTATTGTAATTTGCATCATAATATGTAATTATAATTTGTTCTAAATTTTCTGTGGCAAGCTGATGTCTTTTCTTGCTGAAGATTAACTTGCAAACTGAAGATGTCCTTTCTACATCGCTGGACGTAATTGATACATACGTGTATTATATCTTGCACGAATTTCGTCTGATCTACAGTAGTGGTTGCTCCATACAGTGACCCCATCGGGTCGAAACGAACCGAATAAATCGAGACCAACCGGATTAGCAAGAACTGAGCATAACAAATGTTTTAAGTGGGACATCGTTTAATCGACAACCGATTATTCCCAACCGGCTTTCGTATCAGCTATGACGGAATTCTTAAATAGCAAGATTTTATGTTGATGCTATGTTGATTAGACATTTTTTTATTCCTCTCGATGAGTGCTATAAAACCTTAAAGTCTTGAGCCACCTTTTTTAACACATTGTATATCACATAATATTGTCACATAACTGTTCTTCACAATTTATATCCATATATATATATATATATGGATATAATAAAATATTATAAATAAATAAATAAAATATTATATGATATACAAGNAGAACAGTTATGTGACAATATTATGTGATATACAATGTGTTAAAAAAGGTGGCTCAAGACTTTAAGGTTTTATAGCACTCATCAAGAGGAGTAAAAAAGATGTCTAATCAACATATATGTATATATATAAATTGTGTAAGTTCCATAAATTTGCCTACGTTCTAAAAAAAATGTACATTTGCATAAAGATCCGCTCTCGTATTACACTTCTTTTTCCTCTAATGATTAAACATTGCGTACAATTAGAATAACAAGTACTGCCTAAAGTAAAAGGAAGCATTGATTACTTTTTGGGCGGAGGCAATGTTGTCGTAGTAGTAGTTGAAGTCGTTGGCCCTTGTTGTTTCCGCAGAAGCTGTTGTTGCCTGAGCAAAATAGCCGCTTCTAAAGCTTCGAGGGTGATGTTGCTAGCTTCCGCGAGAGCTTTCAACGACGTCTCCATGCCTTGAATCGGTGCCAAGGATGGCAAAGACGATGGCAACGATTGTCGTTTCTCCGTTTGTTGTTGATGCAAGCTGTGACTGTTCTCAACGGCCGTTGGGTGCAAAGATAGCAATGTCATCTCATTCACGGAAGAAGCTACGTCGTCTCCAGGTAATGGCAGCTGGAAATCGATGTGTATCAACGAAATCAGTTTCCTTAAATTTCCAACTACTTGTTCTACTAGAATAAAGTCGGTCTAACCGTTTACAACCACCGCAATCGCGTTACAAATGTACATACAAGAAAAAGATTACCTGATTGTCGTCCTTCGATACTTCATTGTCGGCATCTTCCACGATCGTTGGGCTGTTGCTAATTCGATCAGTCAACTGTGCCGACGATTGTGGCATCGAGATAAAGGGTGGCAGACCTCCGCTTGCAACGATCGGTTTCGACACAGATTCTGGATCTATTATGCTTCCAGCTGGCGGAATTGCGGCGACGATATTGGGTAGTTTTCCTGGCGTCGCAGCTGCAACCGCGAGAATCTGCGGTGTCTAAATTTAGAAAAACATAATAATGACTAGATGAAATATCAGAGTGTAAGCGAGTTAGAAAATTTTAAGAACATTGTTATTTTCTCTTCAATTTATGGAAATTATTAAAAAGAGAAATGGATTGTTATTTAATTTCTATTTCTGGTAATTCTGTTAGAAAACCGCGGCCTAATGATCTCTAACTGGAAATACGTTGTTTGCAAAATCATGGTGTCTTCATTGAAAACAGTATGTCTGTTCTAAGAACACTATTCTTCTATTTCCACTTAACACTGAAACTTACTTAATTTTTTAATTTAATTATATGTTTAACATTGGTGCATATCGTTTTATAATAATGACAAGATTAGTTTCATTTAAACTTCGTACGATTTAAATTTGTATACAGGGTGAGGCACAAATTAATCCCCACAATTTTTCAGCCCCTTCCGATGGTTTGATGAAAACATGTTTCCTATCAAAGTTAATTAGTATATAACCGACAAGAAATTGCAATTGCAATTGCAAATTTAAAAACAAATTAATTTTCAATAAAACAAAGGTCACGATTTTTTAACGGAATACATTTTTAAACGAAACTATATAATTCTAATTTCATAATATTGTTGGCGACGTCGAGACAAATTCAATGACCTGCTACATAATGACCTTCAAATGACATTGAAGAAAAAATTCCCATGAATCGATTGGCATAATATTTGGTTTTATATAAATCTTTCTTTCGTTTTATTTGTTAGGGTCTGAAATTGAATAAATGAGCATTTGTAATGTTTACGTTCATTTGTTTATGTTTATATGCGAGGCCTTGATGTTATGTATCGCCAAATTATTTCAAATATCGTGGCAATCAATTCATGGCAATTTTTCCTTCGGTGTCATCTAAAGGACATCATGTAACAGCTCGTTGCATTCGTCTTGACATCACCTACGATACTATGAACTTAAAATTACCTAGTTTCATTTAAAAATATAAAGATGACCTTGTTTTTTTATCAAAAATGAATTTGTTTTTAAATTTTGATAATTGTAATTTCTTGTCGACTAAGTACTAATTAACTTTGGTAGGAAACAATTTTTTGTCAGACGATCGGAAGGGGCTGAAAAATCGTGGGGACTAACTTGTGCCTCACTCTGTATAACACTAATGTACAATATATTGTTTTATAACACTGACAAGATTAGCCTTATTTGAACTCCGTATGATTTCTATTATAAGGTATGCTTGAATACAGACGTTTATCTAAAAACTTCTGATATTAACGTTTTCGTAATATATCTGAGTATAAAAGAAAAATTTAGAAATCATTCACTTGGCTAGTTGACTTAACCCTGCTAACACAAATTTTATGATTTTGTTATTATTTGCTGACTCAGATAGATATAAAACCATTGATGGTTCATTTGATTGGTCTGAAATTAGGGATAATACCAACTGAGTACAAAAACTATGGTTCTAAATTATCGGCGTAGATTTGTAGCTGTAATTGTGGAATTTTATAAGGTTGTAAAGGTAGAATTTAAAATTTAGTAATTTGAAAATGCTTGATCGATAAAGCGTGTGTTCATAAGAGCAATTGTTACAAATAACGCTAAAGGGGAGGTAAGACAATGAAACATAACTACCTGTTCTCTCTTCACTTGCATCTGCTGATGCCTCTTCTGTTGCTGCGCCACTAACTGTTGCTGCGCCGCTAATTGTTGCTGCTGTAGTTTCTGTTGTTGTTGGATCTTTTGCAGCTGTTGCTGTCTCATAGCTTCCTGTTGTTGTAGTCGTTGCTGCTTCAACACCTGCAACGCGAACGCCTCCTGCTGTAGCTTCTGTTGCTGTTTCTGTTTCGATTCCTGTTGAATTAGTTGCTGTTGCTGCTGCTGCTGCTGCTGCTGCTGCTGCTGCTGCTGCTGCTGCTGCTGCTGCTGCTGCTGCTGCTGCTGCTGCTGCTGCTGCTGCTGCTGCTGCTGCTGCTGCTGCTGCTGCTGCTGCTGCTGCTGCTGCTGCTGCTGCTGCTGCTGCTGCTGCTGCTGCTGCTGCTGCTGCTGCTGCTGCTGCTGCTGCTGCTGCTGCTGCTGCTGCTGCTGCTGCTGCTGCTGCTGCTGCTGCTGCTGCTGCTGCTGCTGCTGCTGCTGCTGCTGCTGCTGCTGCTGCTGCTGCTGCTGCTGCTGCTGCTGCTGCTGCTGCTGCTGCTGCTGCTGCTGCTGCTGCTGCTGCTGCTGCTGTTGCTGCTGTCTCAGTAAATCCTGCTGCGTCACTGACAAAGAAGGTGCTGGTACGGTTCTCAGGGCGGTATTGTTTTGCTGAACAACTAATTTCTGTCGTTCTGGTTGCTGAGCAATCGGCCGAACCGCACCCGATGGCAGAGGCTTGAAAGGAGGCACCACTTGCCGAGTGTTTTGCACTTGTTGTCTAACGTCTCCGCGGTTGGTAACCTTGAGAAAAGGAATCGATCAATTTTTTAAGACCGTTTTTTGCAGGATTAGTAGATTGAAAGGGTCTTTTTTATTGGACATGGAGACTGACAGCGGCACCTTATTATTGGAAGAAAGGTATATTTAATTATAGAGAGGAATCGAATCTCTTCGACAAAGTGGGTCAAGTATTTAAGTGTATTTGTTTAAAAAATCAAAAAACGGGAGCTATCTTTCAAACATTAGTCACCTGTGATGAATATAGTGGATATATTATAATAAAAAGGAGGAAATCTTATATCTAGATCTTTATGCAAAGTAAAAATTCTCTACCTCGATTGCAACAAACAGAAATTAAATCGAAATTTATTTTCATCCCTAACATTTTTAATAATTGGAAAATAATCCAATAGCTTTGTGAAATTTTTCTCCTGCATTGTATTGTTTTGTATTCGACCTGCTCCATTTTGTCAGAAATGCATAAAATCCACAGCTTACTTAAATCTATTTCAAAATAAATTGCTGTTATATTGGATTTTTACCAAAAAGGTATAATTATAATGAAATGTAAACTTTATTATAATGATTTAACGCACGCTGAACGTACATAGCCAGAACACACAAAAACATATAATCGACAATAACACAAACGAGACGTATGTACTCGAAATGACACATTTATTGAATAGCAAATACTGTTATGTGCATTTGCAACATAAAGTTTATGTCTCATTACAATTATACCTCTTAATAAAAACCCAATAATTTAAAAAGCTTATGTTTTGTATTTGACGAGACATTGAGGGACTAAATAATTATAAGTCTTCATATCCTCATTAATAAAAAAGGAGATTTCGATATAGTAAAATATTAAAGAATTAAATTGAGAGCTTGAACAAGTGTCTTACATATTCTGCTAATCATAATATTATGTTTATTCCCTTCTATTTCAGAATTTGTTATAACTAGACTGCGGATTTTATGCATTTATGATAAAAATGTATAACTAACATATGAAATTGTGAAGGCATATGTAAACTTTAATAACATTGTTATACTGTTTTCAACTAGACGAGCATTACGTGATCAATTAAGTGCGACATAGATGAAAGTAGAAAGACGAGCACTTTTCATTCACTCGGCATAACTCATAAAAATCTATTAAACGAAATAAAGCAACGACATCGGAATCAATACATTAAATGTATTTAATAATCAATGCATAAATGCAACGAATAAAATGAACATTAATACAAATCGTTTAAATTTATATGGAAGCTACGAATATGAATTTTTGCAAATTAACTTTTCCAAAGTTTTCGAACCACGGCAATTGACGACTGCGTGAGCATTTCACTTGATACCACGGCGACGCAGCTTTCAGTTTTTCATGTGAGAAAGTCGTTCATCCAGTTTCGATCGAAAGAAAAATCGCAGCAGCTCGAGTTGCTAAAATCTGTTGATAGAGAAGCGTCGTCAACATTAATCTTCGCACTTCCACTCCGATATCGGCGATTCTTCGGATACAGAAAAACGTCTGCAGCCTTGTCCTGCATACGCTCGCCCTTCCTCCCTGGTTTTTATCGCATTTCAATGGGATACCATTGATGTGTAGCAGAGTACTGGCGCTAACATGCGCCTTGCACTAGACCGTGTTGTTGTTGTGCACAGTTGTTCGTGAAAAGAGGCGTATCGACATTCATGCACCAATTACGACAAGGTTGAGCTTGTACTTTCGGGTCGAGTTGAGTTTGTGCCGCCATAGGAAACTAACTCGTTCGATTCGAGAGAAAGTAAATATTTTATAAATGGTAAAAGGTGGAAGTCCGTAAACTCTGGAATATTATACACTTTCAAATATCCGAATCGCTAGATTGCGAATCTGCTTGCAAGGTAAAAATTGTTTGCCACGATTACGGACAAGTTGAAGCAATTATAGAAATTGATCTATCTTCTTGGTATTAGATTTTTATTATTAGTAATCAATTTCTTAGTATTCAGTAGAATCGAATAGACTGAAAGCAATGTGACAATACTTTAAAATTCTTCTATTATCCTGTTTTCTATTTCTTTTAACCACGTTTGCCTAAATGCCGAACGACGAATGACAATGCCGACCAAACACTTGGAACTATCGATTTTTAATATTGGTTTGCCCGGAATGTGCGTGCCGATTTTTTAGGAAAACTTTAAGGCGACATTTTTCTATATCGATACATATTTATTTATGCATCATTTTGTTCAACAACCGTTCTCCATCCTCCCAGAATTTCTCAGAGTTTTCGACAAAAATCTCTTCAAGATGGTTTTTACATCGTCTCAAGAGTTAAAGTTATTACCGTTAGAGGTATTTCACAAAGATATAAGTACGTAGAAATCAGAAGGGGGGTGCAGTGCCTGGTGATTATGGCAGGTGGAGTAGGACATCCAAGATGACGTCTAGCATCGTCGCGATGGAACAAGATACCCTTCCAATTCGCTATTACTGGACGTTCTCCTTGAATCGCTGTTTTCAATTAATCCAGTTGTGAGCTATATTGATCTCAATCTATCATCTGGTCGTATGGCCAAAGCTCATAATACAGGATTCCTTTCCCATCCCACCAGACATACAGTACAAGTTTCTCCGGATGGAGGCCAGCTTCTGGGATAGATAGTGATGATTCATATCGCTTACATCAGGATATTTTTCACTCAATATTATTGTAAATCATTCATTTCTCGTTATCTGCTCCAAAACGATATGTTTATTAAGTTGCGTTTTCAGCAAATTTGTTTCCGTTAAGTTGTGCGGAATCCATACATCGTAACGTTTTACATAACGAAGTTTTACAAAAAGCTCATGAATAGTTGTTTTTGATACTTTTAATGTCTCTGCTAATATAGGTGTCATCTAGTGCAGGTTGCTTTCGATCGAAGTCCGTATTTTATCATCGTCAATGATGAATGGTCTGCCCGAGCGTTCTTCATCTTTAAAGCTGAAATCTCCAGCTCGAAACTTAGCAAACCACTTGCGCACAGTTCTTTCAGCTAAAACATCTTCTCCGTAAAGACGACGTATCTTATTTCTTGTTTGTGTGACGGTTTTGCTTTGCGGTAATAAAACAACATTAAATATTTACAATGTACCTTATTTTTTTCCATCGTTGACAGACTACAAAATTGACATAAACGAATTTATCCTAACCGGACTTTCTTGTAAATGTAATTGAAATATACCTCTGTATGTCATTTGATTTTAACAATTCTGATATAAGCTAGATGTTCCAGTTTCCGTGCCTGTCCCAATTTCTGTGCCCCCCGATTAAAAACGTGTTAAAAGAGAAAAATTTTATATATAAATTGATACCTTATATAAATTACCTTTGAATTTAAATTTTTGATTATAATACTTTCCTATTTCTCTATACGTTCTTAATCCGAGGGCACGGAAACTGGAACATTTACTCTATTCAGGCATGCGCCGTCTGCCGAAAGTCATCCTAATAAAATGACGTATGTTCTTTTATTTCGAAGCTCATGTTTCAAATGAAACTCTCGCTTCTTATGTTTGGTAGATGAACTCAATTGGCCATTGTTCTTTAAGTTTGTGTAATAAGCGTGTCTCTATTTCCATCAATTCGCAGAGTGTTTTCAAACTCTCGGCTGGTTATGTATGTGCAATCGTTTATTTACAATTTTCATTTTTATTTGCGAATAGCATCAGAGTAGATTGCACGCTATAATTCAGAATACGAATCATGTATATGCGTAAAATAAGTTACTTGATTAGCACTTCTTTGTTCTTAATAATTGATAGAACGAGACAATTCTTGTTTCTTGTATGTCTCCATTCACTTAAATTCCTAGATTCTGATAGCAGAACAATCAAATTTTGTTTCGATTCGAAAAAAAAATGGTAACAAGCATATTTAGCACATTATGTATGAAATCCTTATCACAGATCCGACTCGTTGCTGTAGTTCAAGAGGTTAAAAGAACTTTCGAACTTGCAGAAAAGTGACAAAATGGTATTTTTTGCACTACGCGTTAAGTTTGTCTTTAATTTAAACATTATATTGTTTTTACCGAGTTAGCGTAGGATGGCACATTTCCCCTAGTGGACACGCTTCTTCTTTTGGCAACTTCTACATTGGATATTGATTGGCTGAAACCCAATTCATCACCGACGGAAAACCCTGAAAATAATTATGCACATTCATAAGCGATTGACAATTTACTGGCAGAATTTTACATTTTCGTTTTAAAATGATCCACACGTTTCAAACATTTTGATAAATGTTACGTTATTAAATAATATACGCGTGATGCGAAAGTATGATGCACATAAATAATGATCGCGATATAAATATCAACAAGTGTCATACTGATAATTATTTAGTACCATTACGACGATGAACATGAAAAGGCTATGTTACGGACATCAAAATAAAATTCAGCATGCGTTCGCAAAACAATATGTCGATAATTATTAAAATTATTGAAGAAAAGGAGTTTCTATTTGATTCCTATTTCACATTACTTGAGGCAGTTTTTTATTTTGTATAAATATCTGCAATGTACTTATTATGCACAAATCCAATCAATTACATAAAATTCAATCTTCCAATATATGTATAATACATTGTGTAGAAGCAATGTAAACTGGACGTGAAAGATGTAACTAGTCTGCTGATGTTCTTGCATCTATAGCAGATTGGTAAAATACACTAAAATCTATAAATTAACAAGCTCTAATAATATCATAATTTTCTTTTTAGAATGAGACAACGAAGGAAATTTTCCTTTAATTCTAACTTCGTAAAATGATGTATGGAAATGAGAATTTTCATGAAGATCCGCAGTATAATTAGGTTAGTCCGCAGACCAAAATAAATATTGTTTACCTCATTAGCAACAAACTGGAGTAAAACAGAAATTAATTTCTTTCGTTAGTATGTTCAACAGGCTGAAAACAATGTGACAATACTTTTTAATTTGTCTAATATTCTAGCTGTTTTGTGTTCCTTCTACTCATCTTTGTCATAAATTCATAAAATTCGCATCGTAACAAATATATATTGTAACAAAAAATATTCGATCATAAGAAATTTTTAATTACATTAAAAGATTTCATTAACCATCGTCAATAGTTCAATTCAATTTACAAAATCTGTTCGTTTTCTAAAAGCTAGTATTCGCAACAATATTTTTCCCACAGAAATTCTTATCAAAAATTCTACTTTCGTTCTGAATTATACATGAGAAGCAGGTTCTGTTGCTCCAGAAGGGAGCAACGCGATTCTGTCAGAAGAAGAAACCACGAAGAAAGTTGTGTAACTATCTATTACGTAAGATACGACACCAGTTTTTGCTGGGTCTGCAAACGCGCAAATAAGTTTTTTACGAGCAGACTCTTTTGATCTCTACGGTTTACACACTCCTAATGCTAATTATGTTTCCTTAGAAGTGTCGTCTTTTTACGGGACATAGGTACAACCTCAATGAACGATCCAGGACAGGTCAAGGCAGCGTACCTTTTTTTCTATAGTCAACCTCAAATTGACAAAAGTGTGGTAGAAGTAGGTTAAAACATGTGTGTTTTAATCAGAAAGTCATCGTTAATGTCACCATAGATCATGCATGTTGCATATTACTAATTACAATATACTTGACATACTCTGTCACTTTTTACATCATATTTCTACGTCAATATTATCGGAAAATTGATGTTGATGCGACTATTGAATTTTTCAAAACTTATCCCTTTCCTGTTTACAATTGTATTAACAAGAAAAGCTCTCCAGGTACAACTCTGACCTTTTGATCAGGCTGTGCACAATGATGGAGCTTTAAATACTAAAGCTTATGATATCCCCTTTTGGGAGTAGACGTTTAATAGTTATCGAGATATTTAAGATCAGAGGTTTTCTATTTCTGGAAATACACATGTCGCTGATTATCTTACAGTTACCTGTCAATTAAATTCCTTGGATTTTGGCAAATCAAAATCGAAATTTGATTACGCGGGAAGACGCAGTCAAATATTCAATCTTTAAATTATTTCGGTTGTAAAGTACCACACTGCTTCACGTGCTTCTTATAATTAACACGTTGAATGCCACGGAGGTCACCGCTGACCGGCACTTAACTTGGCGGTGACACCATTAGAGCCACCGGTAACCGACGTATCCAAATTGATAGAAATATATATAATTTAAAACAAATGTCAATATCTAAAATTTTGTATTATTGCCATCATCAATTCAAACAGTGACCCCTGTCGCAGTTAAGATGTCAAACATGGTTATACACTGTAACTTATCTATTGCAGATAATATTTCAACATTATATGTATCACGTAAAAGAAAATTCATCGTGGCGCCACGGACAATTTCTGTAAAACCGACGTGGCATTCAACGTGTCAAAGTAGAAATAACTACGATATTTTTGAAAAATTCAATCATTTATTAATTTATTTTCTAATTTTATTAACTTTAATTGGGGTAACCTTAAAATAATCAGCCATATGTGTACTTCCTGAAAAAAGAAACAATAACACTTTGACGTTAAATATCTCAAAACTGTTTATCCCCAAAAGGGTGTATCGTTAGCTTCAACATTTGAACCTCTACCATTGTGCAAAGATTCACCAAAAATTTAATATTTATTAGTTAAGTGAAGTTATTATTTTGTACAATGCCTGTATTTTAAAATACTCTTTGTGATATGAAATTATTTTATTGATTCTACTTCTTTTATTGATTCGACATTTATATAGTTATCTAAAGTTATTCCATTCTTAAAACACATCTTATTATACAATAAAATTAAAAAAATAAGAAATAAAATAGTCGTCGCTAATAACTACCGCAATTGATGCGACGTTAAACCTTATTCAAAGAAAAAAAAAAGAATTGTTCTTTTTTAGAAATTATAGTGAATATTCAATAGTACAGTGCAGTATGATATAAAATTACTTTTAATTTGATAGATTTATTAACGGTTCTCGGTTATTACGTAATAAATTAGTTTCGCCTCGATTTTCGCTTGCATAGAATTAATAATCCTTCTATCTGCAAATACGTTCACAGAGACCAATTCAACTCACTTACGAGAATTGAAAAATGTCTATTTACTCGAACACTCCCATCTGTTGATAAATACCTAATTACAGAATACTTACAGATTGTGTTATAATATAGCTCGAATCTTATATAAGAATCTAGAGCACGGAATGAAACGGAAAATTTGTTTTTTCTCTTGATCGATGAGATTGTATATTATTTCGTCAATTGGTGAAATTAGCAATGCAACACGAAGTATAATTCAGAATAGAAAGTACATCATTAATATAAGTTCGCAAACGTTAGTAACTTTCTGACCCTCCAGCAGTTGAAACGTGGTCTAAAGCTACGAGCGAAGAAAAAAATTTTGTTTTCAAAATTATTAGCTTAGAATAAAAATTTTTGACAAGTTAATCATTGAGCGCAACTTTTTACAATTAAAAGCAGTTAAATGACAGGACCTCCACCACACAGCAGCAACACACTTTCTTCACACAAATGTTTCCAATCATGTCCCCAGAATTACAATACTTTGCGTCGAAATAATAGTATTTCACGATAATTCCACAGAATTCATTACAACCTGTACCATCGACATAAAATCCTTTCTCTGTAAGCATTTACAATATAATAAACAGCCCAATTAAAGCAATAAATTGTGAGATTTCAATTCGTACCCTTTACAAGTCGATCAAATTATGAGATCATTAAAATATTCGGACAGCTTCTGAAACGGAATAACTTTTTAAAAATTGGACTAAGTGATTTCAATTTTTTTAAAATGTTAGAAGAACTAGTTTACTTGCGCAATGCCTAAACAAATCACGAAAAGAATAAAACCGTTTAAAAAATAACTTTTTCATCTGCGCCTATAACTAACATTTAAGAAATACGTTTTGTAGATCACAGTAACATATACGTGCGCTGAAAATTTAATCAAAATCGGTCAACATCGTTACAAACTACAGGCAAAAAGTCTCGAGGTTTCTTACAGTTATTGTTTGTAAGTCAATAAACTCATAAACCAATTGAGATGAAATTTTCAGGTTGCATATAAGTCACCGAGATCTACAGAATGCATTATTTCAATTTTCGTTACAAGCTCGGATAAAAAAGTTATTCTATTTAACGTTTTCAGTATTTTTGGCATTCTAAGTGACATTCAAGTCATTTGGACAAGATTTCAAAATGTTATTACTTTTGAAAAGGTGCCCGAATATTTTAGTGATTAACTGTACAAGATGTTTGACAATAGACAGAAGAAGCTATGAAACATGATTCTTCACGATGACTTTATGGTAACTTCCTCGCAAAACATCCTGTTTTATCATAAAGAATCACTCTTTACGTTTTCTCCCATCCTTATCAAACACTCTATATGCACATTTTTCTGAAAAGTTGATGTTTTTTCATAAAGGGAAAAAAATTTATTCGAGTACTCGAATTTTCAGTCGAGTAACGGTCGATCTTCTGAATTTTCCTACTTACTTGAAATCGGCGAGCGAATGCTCGAGCGCTTATAAGATTTCGAGGTACTTGAAGATAAATTTTCAGCTCCGAAAATTTTCGAATTACACGAATACATAGTGTCCCAAAAATGTTGTAACCTCTTGAGAAGGGAGATTTCTGAGTTGACTTGAAGCAGAGTTGGGCCTCATCGAATGGTATCGAATCTCTCTCTCTCTCTCTCTCTCTCTCTCTCTCTCTCTCAATATTTTTCTAAAATAATTATTCGAATGAATCTTTTTTTAGTAGTATATTTTATTTGAATAACAATTATTCATTATTAGCAACAAATTTTTTTTTTTAATTATTATTATTGGAAAAATAATTTAATCTATAATTTTTATTTAAATCGATTACTTTCTGATTTAATTATTATACAAGTAAATTCTTATTCGAATAACAAATAACTTCTTATTCTGGATACATTTTTATTCGAATGGATATTAATTCGATAATGTCGAACAAAATTTTATTCGTTAATCCTTATCTTATCTGATATTCGTATGAAATTTTGCCCAACTTTGATTTGAAATAACTTTCTCTTTAGTGAAAATGTTGATTAGAACCTCGTTAACGAGTTATTAACGTAAAACACGGACTAATCAGAGAACGAGTACCATCTGATGCCTTCCGGTGTAACCAATGCGGTTTCGTCCTTCGTATAACTCGTTAACAAAGCATTGGAGAACACTTTCGCTAAGGAAAAAGTTACTTCATATCGGAGTTGAACAAAATTTCACTCGGACGGATGAGAGATAAAGATTAACGAATACAATTTTATTCGAATAAGAGTTTATTCCAACAAGAATTTATTCGTACAGGAATTCATACAGAACATAATTGATTTGACTAAAAATTATATAATATGAATTGTTTTTTTCATAGTGTATCGATGAATTTCTTCCATATCCATATTATCAAATGTTAAATTGCACAGGTAGGCATCGGCAATTTTATAATTCTATGAGTAGTTGAAATTGAACTGATCCAGAATATATTCGAATAAAACTACGTAAAATAAAAAAACCTACTCGAATAAAATTACGTAAAACAAAAGCAGTCAACAATTATTTGCATTATTATTCGAATAATTTTATAATTTCTGTTCGAATCAAAAATTATACGAATAATTTAATCGAATAAAAAGAATAATTCGTCATAAATTATCATCATAAATTCAAATAAAGAATTATTCGAACAAATGGAGAGAATAATTGATCGTTATTCGGATAATATATTGGACTAAAAGGAATTCATTTGGATAATTATCGTCGATAAATATATATTCAAAACAATTCGAATAATGCCCAACTCTGATTCAAATCACCTCAGGTATCAATCCTCTCAAGAGCTTGCAATATTTTTGGGACACCTTGTATATTCGGAAAAATCTCTAGTTCACAAGTTACATACTCGACTATATTCGAATTGCTTGAATTGCTCGAATATCTACATACGTAGTGTATATAGGCTTATGGAGTACGATATGTCACACTAATTTCATTAGCATACTTTATTTTTAAATTTTCAAGAAAGAAAGATATTAGTAATTTAACGTTACCTACACCTACACACACATACATTACATATTCAAATATTCAAGTAATTCGAGTAACTCGGATATTTTCGGTTAATTTGAAAATTAGAGATCTATTCGAATATGTTCGAGTAACTCGAAAATTTTCGTACTGAAAATTCATCTTCAAGTACCTCGAGAAATGGGGGGGGGGCAGGTGCGGGAATAGGGAACAATACGAAACCGATTCGTTTTGTGAGAGTAGCTATCTGACAGTGGTCCTAGCACCACTCGAGCCTCGATACTTCGCAGCACAGCGCAGAAGATGCGGGGAAGGAGAAGGGGCGTGGCGGGTCCCGCATATACGAGATTATAGCAACTGTCGAGAGCTTTACTCTCACAAGGGGAGGTTTGTGGGGTTGACGCTCACTTTTTAATAAGATTTGGTACAGTGATAGAGCTTGTAAAGCTGAATCCAATGATACCTGGTTCTAGGGGCAGGCGATTTATAGTTAAAGTTGCTAATAAAAGGCCAGAAAGACGCACTGGATTACGGCGCAAAGCGCCTCGCGGCAAAAAGTGGGGGGTAAAAGGCGGGCTACCTGATCGCGACGTGTGAGACACCCTCCACTTTCTACCGCGCGGTGCCTCGCGTCATAATCCAGTGCGTCTTTCTGGCCTTTTATTAGCAACTATAACATTAATTATCCCAAAAACTATAAATCGCCTGCCCCTAGAAACAGGTATCATTGAATTCAACTTTACAAGCTCTATCACTGTACCAAATCTCATTAAAAAGTAAGCGTCAATCCTGAGGACCTTCCCTTGTCAGATGGTCATTCGCCTTAACTTCTTGAAGAAAAAAGATGACNTTATTTTTAAATTTTCAAGAAAGAAAGATATTAGTAATTTAACGTTACCTACACCTACACACACATACATTACATATTCAAATATTCAAGTAATTCGAGTAACTCGGATATTTTCGGTTAATTTGAAAATTAGAGATCTATTCGAATATGTTCGAGTAACTCGAAAATTTTCGTACTGAAAATTCATCTTCAAGTACCTCGAGAAATGGGGGGGGGGCAGGTGCGGGAATAGGGAACAATACGAAACCGATTCGTTTTGTGAGAGTAGCTATCTGACAGTGGTCCTAGCACCACTCGAGCCTCGATACTTCGCAGCACAGCGCAGAAGATGCGGGGAAGGAGAAGGGGCGTGGCGGGTCCCGCATATACGAGATTATAGCAACTGTCGAGAGCTTTACTCTCACAAGGGGAGGTTTGTGGGGTTGACGCTCACTTTTTAATAAGATTTGGTACAGTGATAGAGCTTGTAAAGCTGAATCCAATGATACCTGGTTCTAGGGGCAGGCGATTTATAGTTAAAGTTGCTAATAAAAGGCCAGAAAGACGCACTGGATTACGGCGCAAAGCGCCTCGCGGCAAAAAGTGGGGGGTAAAAGGCGGGCTACCTGATCGCGACGTGTGAGACACCCTCCACTTTCTACCGCGCGGTGCCTCGCGTCATAATCCAGTGCGTCTTTCTGGCCTTTTATTAGCAACTATAACATTAATTATCCCAAAAACTATAAATCGCCTGCCCCTAGAAACAGGTATCATTGAATTCAACTTTACAAGCTCTATCACTGTACCAAATCTCATTAAAAAGTAAGCGTCAATCCTGAGGACCTTCCCTTGTCAGATGGTCATTCGCCTTAACTTCTTGAAGAAAAAAGATGACAAAGAAATTGTGTTGAGTATTTTGGCAAAAGAAAAACGAAGGAATATCAAAGGTAATATACAAAAAGCGAGATGAAGTGGGTTATTCTAGCATTTTAATAAGTAAACATTTACTGAATGATAAAGAGACATATATATAGTTTTTTAGATCGATTAAAGACCAAGTTTTATCGAAACTGTTATTGGACAAATTCTTCGGATATTTTTATATGTAAACGTTGAAGTTAATCACAATGCGTGCGCATCCAGACTATTTTCGAAGCAGACGATCGTCAGACGCGTACGTCAATATAAAAGCGTCTGACGCATACGTCCAATGCATGTAGGAAATCCAGTCTCAGGACGTCTTCAAGACGTCCCGAACTGGACATCGTTTCGACATCCGAAATAGAATGTCTTAAATACGTCCAGTTTAGATCGTAAGACGTTCAGACCTGAATTGTACGTAAAACGGGCGTCTTTAAGACGTCCTGTGCTACCCGGGATGTTACCGTTCCATCGACAAGTTTCGACTCACCCAAGCCTAAGTAGCCTTTGACGCCTCCAAGATTTCGTACTCGGAAGAGGCCGGACTTTTTGAAGGCACAGTTAAGTGCAAAACCAAAGTCCGATTGAAACACGCATGTGCCTAGCGTCTCTCGCCACGTGCAGCCTGCAACCAAACGGGAAGAAAAGAACACCATGGATCTTTTTAGCGATCCAGCATCGTTTAGAAGCGATCTCGAATTTTTCTATTAAACGTTCTAGCCGTGTGCCGAGATGAAAGTGGTCCTAATAAATGAATTTCCGTAAATCTCTCATCGCGAGATACAGTCACCGCGAGTTACTATCATTTTGCGATAAGCAAACTGAACTGGAGCGTGACTCGAAGTGGCTGAATCAGAGATGGAAGATCTTTGAATATGTTTAATAGGATTCTTTTTTTAATTCTGACAGAGCTTGCATATTCTTTACTGGACTTTCAAAACACCCTGTACATTCCATCGTAATTCGCAACACATAGACTTACGTAGTTAATTTTTCTCTTACGTCGAACACGAGATAAACTTATGTCGCACGATTTCTTGTGACACATTCATCTCTTTTACGGTGTCAACTCTTGGGATGGAGAAATTTCAGCTCCAAAATTTATTTACTTTTAAAACTCAAATGAAACGTGACTCGAATCATTTCGAACGAAGCGTTACAGTGGACAGTGACGCATATAAATTTTAAGAACGATGAAATACTTTCGGAGAAAGCCTGTTTTAGAATACCGGAAATTTAGCATATATACAGTCAGCATAAAAAGTAATCATACACCGTATTTCCGACGTTTAACAAATTGTCGATATTTGAACTATTATAATTTCGTAAAATCGTCTCGTTCAACAATAAACCTGGACTCATTTTAAAGCTCAAACCTTCTACTTACGCTATGTATCCTTCATTTTTCTGTAACAAGTTTTTGCACGATATAACAGGCGGAAAACTGGAGACATGTTCTTTCTAGAAATTACTGACTAAAACGTCTGGAAATTTTTTCACATCTAGATTTGAAGATTGAAGCTTCCCCTTTAAAATGACTCCTTAAACTTTGATGTACGATTTTTTTAGTCACTCTATTGAGCTTCGAATGAATGGTGTACTGTCTGCTTTATAGTAACACAAGGTTCAAGAGGACTCCAAACATTCGAACTTGTCCTTTGTTTCTGTTCCATATATAAAACAACTAAAAAATTGTGTACACCAAGTTTTTGAGATTATTCTAAAGAACAAGTTTTTTTCGATCTCCAAATTCGTGAACGATTTATTCGTAAAAACAACTTTTCAATGACTTTGGAGACGATCCAATTAAATAAACCTATGTGTTCAGTTTTCCGTTTGCTATGATTTGTAAAAGGACGGTAGGAAAAACTGGTCGATGAATTGTGAAAATGAAGGCTTTAATCTTTAAAATAAAACCAGATTTATTATGGTGTGACTCCTTTTTACAAAAGTATAACAGTTCAAACATCGACAATTTGTCAAAAATCTGAAATTCAGTGTACGAATAGTTTTTACGCTAACTGTATATCTAAATCAATTTTCAAAAGCGTCATTACGATGGAAAGTTACTATTCTCGTTGAATGGATTAGTCAGCAAGAACTCAAGAACAACAAGAAATTGAATTGAATTGAACGTGGGCCATAGTCCATTATATCTAATCTGTGCTATTGATCCTTAATTTGGTTGAAAGTCGTGTTGGGATTGAGGTGTCAGGAATGATTTCTCAATGATACATGACAACGCTGACCATACTTGAAAACAAAGCGTTTTCATAGAACTAAATTAATGCAAATAAATATGTAAATGATACGCCTAATACTTGTGCTGCGTAAGAATTTCTTTGAAAATTATTTTGTCATTCTTTTCCTTAAGATAGCCTGTCAATATACATTCCCCTTCAAGTATTAGGACACCTGCTTATTTAGTGCAAATTGTAATATTTCATTTAGTTTGCAAGTCTTCAATATAGCATCATATTGTCGAATGTACATGTTAAGTTAGAAGTGTTTGTCACTTATGCAATTAGTTTATCCATTTATTGCATTTTGTTCATTGAAAACGTATCCTGAGTTCATTTAGTATACGTGGAGCATACTATGAAATGCATGGAGCCAAAGAGTATCAGAAATAAACGAAAAACTAATAAAACGTATGCCGAAATTAGTCCGAGAAGTAATTAAAAAACGCGATAGATATATCGACGAAAAGAACATTTAATTTTCTTTTCGTCGATATATCCACCGCGTTTTTTATAATATACATACATTTTATAGAATATACAGTTTAGTATAATTAACTCTGAAATAAATTTTAAAAATTATATATATTTATTGAATTTTCTGTAAGTGTCCTAATACTTTTGGAGGGAGGTGTATTTGATGATAATATAAAATAACTCAATATTCGTAATTTTGAAAAATAATATTTGTTTGTTTCAAGACATCTTATATAAGAATCCCATATGTCGTAGAGAGTCATAGCATTTTCAGAACGACGTTTATATCCTGGATGCGGCGTAATTGCTCAATGTTTTCGCGAAATCATTTTCTTTCCGTGAAAGCAATCTTCCAGTGAAATGACTCATCTAGCGTTACATATTCTATTGTCAACCATAATCACGGAACAACGACGACAGGTTTCTAACGCAGTCGGACAAATTGTCCACGGGCGTCAGGAATAATGGCATTTCTCAAGGAAATCACGAAAGTCATCCTATATTTGCGGTTCTTTGGAAAGAACGTGCTAAGACAACGAAGAGTGTTCGACGTGTGCAAAACGCGTCCGCACACGCGCCACGCGTTTGCAATGCTGAAACTAAAATTAAAACTGCTAAATAATTCGTAATCCATTTCGTCGGATAGTATTCTGCCTGTATGACGTTCGGGATTCTTAATGGAATGCACCGGTAAACTGTCTCATGTCAAGTTACTTTCACTTCCAAAATAAGACGATGAATCACCGAAATTTTCTCGAGTCTACGGTTACTCTTTCAAATTTGATAAATCCGTGGCAAGCCTAATTTCGTTTATTTATGCTTCCCGAACGTGCAACTTAAAAACTAATTTGTCTGACTATTGCTTTTTACTCTGAACTTAAGAATTGATTAAAAATCGGCAAATCGCGTTAGAAAGACACGTACACTTCGTTTATTAAGTACGAGAAATCTAAAATCAAAAAATACGTTGACGCTTTTGCAAACTTTTCAACCTTTGCGACATTTCCTGAGTCTTCTGCTAAAATAAAAACGTCCTTATGTAATGCTTTTCGAGGACATGATTATTTCAACATAAATAATTAATGTTCTCGTGTGAATGAATATTAGCATACTTTCAAAAAAAATAAGAATTTTGAAATAAGAAAGCTTGACCAAGCTGTATTTCGGAAAGCATTTATTATCAAAAATGGTATTTTTCTCAGTTAGCGATTTTACGTTGTATTACGTTATATTTACACTGTAACGACACAGAGCAGTTATTAATTCCCTAAATTTTGTCTGTCAATTTTATTTCTTAGATAAATTCGAATAGGTTGGTCGAGTAGATACTACTAAAGTAGAGTTGGGCAAAATTGTGTTCGGATGACGGATAAGAGATAAGGAGTGACAAATAATATTTCATTCGACATTGTCGAGTAAATATTCAATCGAATAAAAATTTGTCTAGATAACAATTTAGCCGAATAAGGCTTTATACGAATAAGAATTTCCTTGTTCCGGGATTAATTCGGAAAATAATCAATTTAAATGAGAATTATAAAATAAATTGTTTTTCCATCGTTTATTGATTAATATCTTCCATGTTAATTTGTACAATTAACTTTTTTTCAACTGCTGCCACAAAAGTGACTACTTTTATGTCGATCGATCATTAATACATAATTAGATAATCTTAAAAAATTACATGAAAAAAAACGTTCAATAACTATTGGCATTATTATTTGAATAGAAAGAATAAATTGAAAAGAAAAATTTAATAATTCATTCGGATAATTATTTTAGATAAATATCAATTCGAATCAATGCGAATAATGCCCAACTCTGTTCTAGAGAAACGAAACAGGTGAAAGAACTGTTTTCTGTAAATCTCAGCATTGCAAACCACCTTGCAATGGAGAAAGTAAAATAAATACTTCGCATGAATGAATACTTCGCAGTTAATTAATACGTCTGACCTATGTGTAAATTTAATTTAACTGTAATTCCTAATTATTTCAGAAATGTCCTAAAGTTTGTGAAAGGTACGTCCGGAATTCGTGTTCAGAAAAGATTTGCCGGATCTCAGGCGTGCCATTGGGCCACAGCCTACTGACCCACTTGAATGGTCGACTCATCTTTTGACCGTCATCGACCGACGACAGAGGTTCCTCATACTCCAAAATCATTTCTACTTCTTACAAATCACTTCTCCCTTCGGTCGAGAAAGAAGGAAAAAGTCGTAACGTCGATAGAAATGCTTATGATCGATGGAAACGAAACAGTTTGTTTCGTTGTTTCCATTTCGTTTCAATTTTCACGACAATTTTACTTACGTAAGAGGCATTGACGATACTATTTCGATATCGTTCAGATTATGAAACAATTTGAATGCACAGACTATGAATGTACATATCAATAAAGGTCTTTTATCAAGTGATTTACACTGGTGCATATTATATTTCACGTTTGTATAAATTCATTTTTAATGTAAAGTATTAAATGACAACTTGTTTGCTTAATTATCCATTTTAATTACAGCATGGCAGAGTTGTCAGAAGTTAAAATGAAATCTATATTTTCTGTAAAATATTTTGCCAAATGAAAAATAAAATAAAACTGAAAACCTGGTAATAAAATAAAATAAAATCCTCGCTAACAGTTTTACTTCTTCGCGTTTTCGTTAAAGAATAGTTTGTAGTTTGTATAATGTTTCACAATAGCCTGAGGATGTGTGACGACCCAATGGATGTAGCTGACGAAATGAAGTCAGTCTTAAAATCGAAATGGCTGTATCCATTGATAACAATTCACAGAACCTGAGAAACGAATTACGGAGAGTGCTAAAACTGTGATGATGTGACGAAAGAGTTTACATGTAGAAATTTTATATAGTCCCCGTTCGAACATGGTGAAATTTTCGAACGAGAAA